TATAGAATCTAACTTAGACAGAGTTGCGGGAGAGCTGCAGAAAAGATTTGGTCACCATAATCTAGCTTGGACAAGACTAGGGTGGAATGGAAATGGAGGAGAGTGTGACGATCCGCTCCCCATGAACGACGTACGAGAACCTTAAGGAGATTTAGCCGACCATGGCAAATTGTCTTTAACGAAGAAATGTGAAGTCTCCACGTCACCTGGCGATCAAAGAGCGAGCCCAGAAGCCTGACCGTATCACATGCCGGAATACGTGAACCGTGCAAGTACAAGGAAGTATCCAGTATAAGCGGGCATCTAGTGAAGGTAATGAATCAGGTTTTCGTACTGGAAAATTTAAAGCCACGAGAAGTGGTCCAATGGGAGACTCGGTCTATCACAACCTGAAGGGAGACTGCTACTAGTCAACAGTTAGTGCCCGAGTAAGCTATAGCGAAGTCATCAACATAAAGTCATGACCAAATATGCAAAGGAAGAATGGAACGTAGGTCATTTATAGCAAAGAGAAAAAATAGTAGTACTGAGGACACAACCTTGTGGGACTCATTCAACTTGTACAAAGTCCAAGGAAAGCAAGGCGCCAATACGGACCCAAAAATGTCTATTGGAGAAGAAAGCAGCGATGAAGTTTGGTAGATTACCGCGGAGGCCTAAGGAGTGGGCTTGGGCTAGAATGTTATACCTCCAAGTGGTGTCATATGCCTTCTCTAGATCGAAAAAGACTGCTAGGACAGAGTGGTTGTTAGCAAAGGCATTTCGAATACAGTGGACCCCCGCATAACGATGGCATCACATAGCGATTATTTCGCATACCGCTTACTTTAATCGCAAAAATTTTGCCTCACATACCGCTTTTCGTCCGAGACGCGTCCAATGTGCGGCCTGAGCCACGCTCACATGTTCCGCCGGTGGCATTGTTTACCAGCCAGCCTCCGCGGTAACATCCAAGCATACAATCGGAATATTTCGTATTATTACAGTGTTTTCGGTGCTTTTTCTGGAAAATAAGTGACCATGGGCCCCAAGAAAGCTTCTAGTGCCAACCCTACAGCAATAAGGGTGAGAATTACAATAGAGATGAAGAAAAAGATCATTGATAAGTATGAAAGTGGAGTGCATGTCTCCGAGCTGGCCAGGTTGTATATATAAACCCCAATCAACCATCGCTACTATTGGTGGTACAGCTGCTGCTGCTGCTGCACTGTCAGCTGCTGCTGCTGCTGCACTGTCAGCTGCTGCTGCTGCTGTAGCACCGTTGTTGGTGTGGCTTATTGAGAATACCAAGAAACAATTAACCCCAGAGGATTTGCCACCCAGGATAACCCAAAAAAGTCAGTGTCATCGAAGACTGTCTAACTTATTTCCATTGGGGTCCTTAATCTTGTCTCCCAGGATGCAACCCACACAAGTCGACTAACACCCAGGTGAACAGGGAAAAATGCCTGGAACTAGTGCTCATATTGGTGAATTTAAAGCCAGCAAAGGTTGGTTTGAGAGATTTAAGAATCGTAGTGGCATACACAGTGTGATAAGGCCTGTTCTGGAAGAAAATGCCAAACAGGACCTACAGTACTCAGGAGGAAAAGGCACTCCCAGGACACAGTGTCTCATCAGTCATTGCTGCATCTTCAATAAAGGTAAGTGTCATTTATTCTTCATTTAGTAGACTAGTACATGCACAATATATACTGTGCATGTACTACTCTACTATTGTGCATGTATCCTTCTCTTTGTGTGTGGGAAAATGTATATTTCATGTAGTAAAATTTTTTTTTTCATACTTTTGGGTGTCTTGCACGGATTAATTTTATTTCCATTATTTCTTATGGGGAAAATTCATTCACATAACGATTATTTCGCATAACAATTACCCCTCTTGCACGGATTAAAATCGTTAACCGGGGGTCCACTGTATACGTATTGAAGTGGAGCAAGGGGTCTGAAGTAGAGTGGCCTTTGCAAAAGCCATATTGGCGAGGGTCAAGGCTGTTGTGTCTCTAAGAGCCGCATCAGATGTCTATTCACCAATCATTCCATCACCTTGCAGACCACACTGGTCAGGGCAATGGGACGATAGTGAGAGGTGTCAAGCCCTGAGGTGCCCAGTTTGCAAAATGGTAGTACAATAGCCGATTTCCAGTGTTGTGGGAGAACCCCTCACTCCCAAATTAGACTGAAAAGACGTCAAAGAACAGGAAGGCCCATAGAATGGAGATGTAGCATAATGACGTGGATATCATCAGGTCCTGGTGCCGACAGCCAGCACATGGAAAGCATGGACTCTAATTCTAGAACAGTAAAAGGTATGTTATACAGCTCCAATCCATCGGAGGAGAAATCTAAGGGCAACTGCTCTTTGGTAGGTTTAGACACAAGAAATGAGGGACAGAGGTGAAGCCCTCAGGAGATACGGACAAGATAGTTCCTGATTTTTGTGGCAACTTCTAAAGGCTCTGGTGAAATATAACAATATAATCCTTCACTTTGGGAAGATAGACAAGCGTGTTCACTATTATAATCAAAAAAGTGCTGAACCTACAAGGGTCATACAGCACCAGCAAAGTGTGTTCAGTTTTTATCAAAGGAAAAGGGCATTTTCAAGTTATTACATGAACACGAAACGGTATTTTGCTTACGTAAACAGAAATAGAAAACAAAATACAGTGGTACCCAGAGTTTCGGCCATAATTCGTTCCAGAAGAATGTTCAAGTGCCGTTACCGAACGAATTTGTTCCCATAAGGAATAACGTAAATTAGATTAGTCCATTTCAGACCCCCATAAATACACTTACAAAAGCACTTACAATAATACACTAACATAATTGTTCGAGTTGGGAGCTATATGAAACTTGGGGTACCACTGTAATCATAACATAATTCTGTATTAAGGATTTCAGATGCGAGTGTGGGGGAGGTAAGACAGAATGTAGGGTTGTGGATGAGCAAGGTGGTTTCAGAGTGGGTAGGGGATGTGTAGATCAAGTGTTTACATTGAAGCATGTAAGTGAACAGTATTTAGATAAAGGTAGGGAAGTTTTTATTGCATTTATGAATTTAGAAAAGGCATATGATAGTGGATAGAGGAGCAATGTGGCAGATGTTGCAAGTACAGTGGACCCCCGCTTAACAATCACCTCCAAATGCGACCAATTATGTAAGTGTATTTATGTAAGTGCGTTTGTACGTGTATGTTTGGGGGTCTGAAATGGACTAATCTACTTCACAATATTCCTTATGGGAAAAAATTCGGTCAGTACTGGCACCTGAACATACTTCTGGAATGAAAAAAGTTCGTTAACCGGGGGTCCACTGTATATGGAATAGGTGGTAAGTTACTAAACGCTGTAAAGAGTTACGAGGATAGTGAGGCTCAGGTTAGGGAGTGTAGAAGAGAGGGAGATTACTTCCCAGTAAACGTAGGTCTTAGACAGGGATGTGTAATGTCACCATGGTTGTTTAATATATTTATAGATTGGGTTGTAAAAGAAGTAAATGCTAGGGTGTTTAGGGGAGGGGTGGGATTAAATTATGGGGAATCAAATACAAAATGGGAATTGACACAGCTGCTTTTTGCTGATGATACTGTACTCATGGGAGATTCTAAAGAAAAATTTCCAAGGTTAGTGGATGAATTTGGGAGTGTGTATAAAGGTAGAAAGTTGAAAGTGAACATAGAGTAAGGTGATGAGGGTATCAAATGATTTAGATAAAGAAAAATTGGATATCAAATTGGAGAGGAAGAGTATGGAAGAAGTGAATGTTTTCAGATACTTGGGAGTTGACATGTCAGTGGATGGATTTATGAAGGATGAAGTTAATCGTAGAATTGACGAGGGAAAAAAGGCGAGTGGTGCGTTGAGGTTTATGTGGAGACAAAAAACGTTATCTATTGAGGCAAAGAAGGGAATGTATGAAAGTATAGTAGTACCAACACTCTTATATGGGTGTGAAGCTTGGGTTGTGAATGCAGCAGCGAGGAGGCGGTTGGAAGCAGTGGATTATTATTATAATCAAGGGGGAAGCGCTAAACCCGGAGGATTATACAGCGCCTGGGGGGGGGATGTGGAAGGCATTCAGGCTTAATTCGGGGAACTGGAGCACAGATCCAATTCCCTAAATCAAGAGCCCCTCACCAACATCAAGGAACCTTCCTTGAGGGGTGGAAGCAGTGGAGATGTCCTGTCTAAGGGCAACGTGTGGTGTAAATATTATGCAGAAAATTCGGAGTGTGGAAATTAGGTGGTGTGGAGTTAATAAAAGTATTAGTGAGAGGGCTGAAGAGGGGTTGTTGAGGTGGTTTGGTCATTTAGAGAATGGATCAAAGTAGAATGACATGGAGAGCATATAAATCTGTAAGGGAAGGAAGGCGGGGTAGGGGTCGTCCTCGAAAAGGTTGGAGGGAGGGGGTAAAGGTGGCTTTGTGGGCGAGGGGCTTGGACTTCCAGCAAGCGTGCGAGAGCGTTCGATAGGAGTGAATGGAGACGAATGGTATTAGGGACCTGACGATCTGTTGGAGTGTGAGCTGGGTAATATTTAGTGAAGGGATTCAGGGAAACCGATTATTTTTATATAGCCGGACTTGAATCCTGGAAATGGGAAGTATAATGCCTGCACTCTAAAGGTGGGGTTCGAGATATTAGCAGTTTGGAGGGATATGTTGTGTATCTTTATAGGTATATGCTTCTAAGCTGTTGTGTTCTGAGTACCTCTGCAGAAACAGTGATTATGTGAGAGTGAGGTGAAAGTGTTGAATGATAAAAGTATTTTCTTTTTGAGGATTTTCTTTCTTTTTTGGGTCACCCTGCCTTGGTGGGAGACGGCCGACTTGTTAAAAAAAAAAAAAAAAAAAAAAATTAAAATGACTAGGAAAGATTCTATACATAATACCTTCCCATGGCATTGCTGTTAGAAGCCTAATTAATATTTTTTACCTTATTATATCAGTATCTTAAATCAACTTCACACCTTGAGGAACACAAATAAAACAAAAATCATTAATTAGTGATTTTACTGCAGTACCTTTCCATAGTACAAGCATGTAAAGCTGAGGCAGCAATTTTAGTGCAATAAATTTTACAAATGTAAAATGGTTTTACACTGCTCTTGTTTTTTCCTCCCCTGCATTAAGTTCACCTGGAAGGTCTGATCATGGACCAGGGCATAATACACCTAAATCCTAGCAAACATGGAGAAAAAGCTGTGGTAATACTCTTCTCATTGACTGGGTAATAGATCTGGGTTGTAGAAAGAACTTTCTTCCTACATCTGGACTACAATGCTCTGTACATAATCATGTAGTGTTTGTCAATACCTAACACCAGTGCTAAGATCACATAATTTCACACGAAAAATTTATGGCCTTTCTTTGGCATACCATTCTGGTCATTTTATTTAAATTTTTTTTAATTGTACTTGCTTCTAATTTTCACTTATGATCATTTGATTCGTCTCGACTATATGCTCTTGACATATTCTTATTGAAAAGAATATGGGAGAACAGACAATCTTTCACAATGAACAAAGACAAGAATAATTTTTTATTGCTATACAGATCAATCATAATGATCTACTGCATATCAAGCTTGATTTAGTTAATACTAGATTTCCTATTCATGCAGTTTTACATAATCCAAGGCAATGTTGCATAATTCCATAGCTGATGGCAAAGTATTTTAAGCCATTAGGTAAGATGATGTAAAAGTGTAGTTTATAGTGTGATAAACTGGATGAAATTACTGTGATTATCATGCACGATATAAACTTGCCAGCTTTCCTACTGGCAATGATAAACTTAAGGCAACAGTGGGATGGATAAAATGTAGCTGCTCTCATACTATAATTAAGATAATAAATAAATTAGCCAAATTAAATACTAGTCTTCTCCATCAGGAATGGACTTAAAAAAAAAAAAAAGATAAAAAAGAAAACTACTAATAATGTTTCTAATACCAAGGTTAATAAGGGCACTGTAGGATATCTTATATTCAATTTTAAAGCTGAAAGAGATCACTCAACCTAATGTACAAGTGACTGCTGGTCTAGTGGTGAGGGACATACATGGACAAGTAGTGCCACAGGCCACTACAGAAACAATAATGCACTATATTTATATATTTAGTTAAGAGAGATTTAGCATAAATTGTCTCAACATAAAATATATCTTCTCTGAGAAGCATACAGCCTATCAACTTCTTAAAACTCCATGTTCCCATTGTAACTATCATAACTGGGAATAAATAGGACCTTTCTGACTCTCTCAGTCAGTAATGGTTACATGAAATTTGTACTGCACAAATTTCAAAAACATTAATTGCTGTGTACATAAAGTTACATATAAAACCTGGAACAATAATATAAGTCAGACACTGTCTGAACATCACCTATGCGAGTATTGCTTTCAGTATTCTTTCACTATTTCACGACCTTTATAATCATCATTTTTTGTCAAAGACTAAAAAACAAGAGACATCACTTTATACAAACGAGTTTCTTGACCAAGAGACATGTATTCTTCAGTCATAAGAACAGCCATTTAGAAATACAGATAATTAAACACCATCTATATGTATTCCAAGACTGCTTATCTTACAAATGCAATGGAAAATTAACATTAAAATGAACAGCACAAGCTGAATTCTAATATATGAAAAGCAAACAAAAACTGAGCATCATATACTGTAATTTTAATCCTCAGCAAGCTATACAGGTATGCTCTATATTTCATTATTTTATAACAAGTTATAATTTATATTTTACATACAATTATCAATACTTTAGAATACAGTACATTTCTAAATAGCTGCTTATAGAACTGTAATTCATCAATTCAGAAAAATAAATCCATCAAAAGTCTTTAGTACATTATGATATGAAACTTTACATTTTTGTACATCAGAAATGTCACAGGTATGAGATAATCGGATTTTAAAACTTAGACATTTTATAACCATTAGAAAGCAGAAATATAAACATAACATTTATAAGCTTTTCACAGTTTCCAGGATTCACAATTTTTACAAAATTACAACTTGCCTCGTAAAACAATCTTTGCTTTGGTCCAAATATTTCCCAAATTCATGAGGCTTACTTACTGATATTATGCAAAAATTAATTTTAATGGAAATAATAATTTAGTCTAACAACCTACACCTTTCATCTTCCACCTTCACCATAAAGCTTGTCCATGGTGCTTATTACCCAGTAATAAATCTGCACGAGACCTGACAGGTAACAGCGTCCCTCAGTTTGTGCTTTACTCTGCATGAAGTATTTCTTCTGGACGTCTCGTGATAAACTATGATGATGCTAACAGGAAAATTACTTGTGATGAACCTTGGTTTGTACTTCTGAAGGCTAAATTTTATACCAAGGAAAAATATAAATCAAGCATTCACAAGTATTAATGAAAAACATAACCTTATGCAGAGAAAAATTATTGGAATATGCAACACAATATGAATATCCAAGGTTCTACGAAACAACCATTTCATTTCCCCCATTCTCATTACCCATTGGTTTCTTAAAAAAATAAACAAACAAGTTTTACTGGAGGGTGCACAAATTTGGTGTCAAACTGAGATTGGTAACAATGTTTCATGAGAACATGGCCACAGCTTGACATAAACAGGGGCTGGATTCTATCTCAGGAACATGACCAAGAGCTAAATTTAGCTTGATGTGTCTGAAAGAAAAAAAAAAAAAAAAGAAAATTAAGACCCAAGTTAATATATAAAAAAATTAGTTACAGAATTGTTTTCAAAGCCATTTCTTTTGTTCTGCTGGCATTCTGCTTTTTGGCAATGTCCACTTTGTCAGTAGCCTAGAACCTAACCTGCCATTTAAGTGGGGCCCTATTTTATTTGCATGTACCATAAATGCTTCTGATCACGAGTTTCACATATCTTTGGGTTAAAAATTGAAATGTACATTTAAAAAGTATACTTATTTTGTTAGAAAGAGATGATAAAAATAATGTTTAGTCTTATGAAGACTTCCTAGGCATGTAAAGAATATTTTCAGATATTTTTCTACTTTTAATTTTCCACGAGATGTGGATTCATGATCAGAAGAGTGTAATTTCATTTAATTCAAAGTGCTAAACCCATAGGGGTCATACAGCACTCGGGGAAAAGGAAGGTATTGATGTTCAATCCAAGGAAAGAGAGGTTAAGTCCAGTTCCTTGGAGCAAGAACCCTTCACCAGTGTCAAAGCACCTACCACGAGAAGATGTGATGTAGCAGCCATGGTACATAATGTCATGAATGCAAAGCACATTATTTTTTTTTACCCTAACTAGTGTATTTTACTATTATTTCAACTAATATTTTGTCCAGTTATTTATAACTAGCATATCTGAGCAGTCATTTTTAACCAGCATGTTTGTTCTGTCACTTATAACTAGTACACAGTACAGTCATTAACAGGTAAATTGTTTGTCCAGTCATTTATAAATTACATATTTGTTCCATTTTTCTATTATTTGATTGCAAAAACTACACTGAGATGTTGAGATTGTGTGCAAAACTCAAGAATATTTAGTTTTACTAAAATTTTCGTAAGCTTCAATTTTTTAAAATTTACGAGTTGTGTTGAATAAATGCTAAGAATAAAGTCATTGGGGAATTAAGCTACATACCCATGCGGGGACCTCCACTTGCTACCCGCTTTTGCACTGCTGGGGGCTGGTAGGGCTGCATGCCACCACGAATAACTGGATTGGATGCATGATTTGCTTGAGGGGCATGTCCAGCACGAATTGGTTTGGCTGTGAAAGATAAATACTTTGTATACTGTACTGATATGCAATATTATTGTAAAATAATTATTCAGCATATTTTTTCTTTTAACACTCTGGCCATCTCTACCGAGGCAGGGTGACCCAAAAAGAAATAATTTCACCATTATTCACATTATCACTATCTTGCCAGAGGCGCACAAATACGACCCATTAGGTGTCCCTCTAAACAGCAAATATCCCAAAAGTGCCCTTTAGAGTGCAGGCACTGTACTTCCCATGCCAGGATTCAAGTCCGGCTAACTGGTTTCCCTGAATCCCTTTACAAAATATAACCTTGCTTACACTCCAACAGCTCATCAGGTCCCAAAAACCATCTGTCTCCCCTCACTCCTATCTAACACACTCATGCATGCCTGCTGTATGTCCAAGCCCCTTGCACCCAAAACCTTCTTTACCCCCTCCCTCCAGCCATTCCTAATGGGTGATCCCTACCCTGCCTTCCCTCCAATACAGATTTTTACACTCTCCAATTCATCTTATTTTGCTCCATATTCTCTAAATGACCAAACCACCTCAACAACCCTTCCTTGGCCCTCTGAATAATACTTTTAGTAACACTGCACCTCCTTCTAACCTCCAAACTATGAATTATCTGCATAATATTCACACCACACACTGCCCTCAGACACATCTCCACTGCCTACAATCACCTCCTCACTGCAACATTCACAACCCATGCTTCACACCCATATAACAGTGTTGGTACCACTATACACACATGCATTTATTCATACATTTTTTCTTCTTTCAACAAACCGGCCATATCCCACCGAAGCAGGGTGGTCCAATAAGAAAAGCAAAAGTTTATCTTTTTTAACTTTAGTAATATATACAGGAGAAGGGGTTACTAGCCCCTTGCCCGCGGCACTTAAGTCGCCTCTTACGACACGCATGCCTTACGGAAGAAGAATTCTGTTCCACTTCCCCAGGGAGTATTCATATATTTATCTTTAATAAATACTGAAAAATTTACAGTAAAAACTTTGATATAATGGACTAATAGGGAAAACTTCCTGAGTGTCAGTTAGATTAGAATGTTAGAAAATACCCTTAAACTGGACTGTAAAGGAAGAACCCTCACCTCCTGTCATTGATATATATTTAGAAATTACTCATTATTTATTTTGAAGTGATCTTGTGCATTATTGCTAAGCAATACATAGGCATTTCACCTGAAAACTGTTGATATTGGTGACCTTGTTTCCTCCTTCCTAATTTTCACAGGCTTCTATGCCATTTGTAAATTTAATATATAAAAGAATTGTCAAAAAAAAAAAAAATATAACCATGCAGTTAGTCCACTCACCAATCTGTGCAGCAGTGCCTCTACGTTGAAGGTTCTTTTGCCTCACAGCTTCTTTAATTCGGTCAACTTCCTGTTGGTATCTTTTGCGATCCTTCATTGCTCCTTCCTTAGCCTCCTTTAATGCTGTTTCTAATGCCTGAAATGTTATAAACCATTTTCTCTAAAGATCGTACTCGAAGAGATGAGCAGCCATTTTTAGTATCACTAACAATAGCTTTCTTGAGGATGATTCTATCAGAAACCATTCATTTCTCACCTTGAAATATACGTACAGTATTTTCACCATTCAAGAAATGAACTCTTAACTAAACCAATGTGCCAACTCACAGATATCATCATCCTGTACACTGTTTAATATTTAATAAAGTGTATACATGTACCTTTAAAATTGTATATGTTAGGGGTCAAACTCTGATAAGTCTGGAACTACAAAGCAAATATATAAAAGCTTTGGCCCATCATCCTGTTTCATACATAAACATTTCTTAACATGAAAACATGTAGAGCCCATAAATCATATATAACCAAATTATTAAAGGATTGATGGGTTAACAAGCTAAAGTAGAACATGGCTTAGCCTGGAAAACATTCGTTTTCCAGGCAAAGCCTGGAATGTAGGCTCCTTAAATATTAGGGAAAAGAAAAGAAAAACAAGGGATGCAAAGAAGGGGGAGGGGGAAGAGAGATTTCATTTCACAGCTACTCACCTTCACTCGCTCCATTGTTGCTCTAAGTCTCTTCTCAAGTTTGGGAAGCTCACATCGGAGATCAGCATTATCGCGGACCAGTTGTTTATGCACCTTTGTTAACTGATCCAAGTTGTTTTCCAAAAATTGGATCTTTTGTTTCTGAGCTAATGATCCACCAGATTCATCACTTTCTTCTGTTGCTGACTGTAAAGTAAAATGATTTACATTTCATTATTCCTTAAGAAATTACAATTTAGAAGCTCAATGTTCTATTCTGATGCACAAAGAAACTTTCCATGTCTAAAAACTTATTTTTCTAGAAGAATTACAAATGAACAATTGCCTCCATACACTATAATTTTATCAAGTGCTATAATCAACATATTATATTTTGCATGAGCAGCAGCATTCATCAAATGCCATCGTTTCAATTATCTAAATGCAGTCAGCTCCCTCTTGATGAACAACTGCAAAACATAATTTTGAATAATAGCAAAAACTCCAATTTCTCGCCACTTAATGACCAATTTTGTGATTGTATGAAGACCAGGAGCAAACATGATCAACAAATGGGGTGTGAATACACACAATGCTAATTCAACAGTGCATGTCATTGAATATTTTCAAGTCATAAATCATAAAGGGTGTTTGATAGGAGTGAATGGAGACGAATGGTATGTGGGACCCGATGATATTGTGTATTTTTATACGTATATACTTCTAGACTGTTGTATTCTGGTCACCTCTGCAAAAACAGTGATGTATGAGTGAGGTGAAAGTGTTGAATGATGATGAAAGTATTTTCTTTTTGGGGATTTTTTCTTTTTTTTTGGGTCACCCTGCCTCGGTGGGAGACGGCCGACTTGTTAAAAAAAAAAAAAAAAAAATCAAATAGTATACAGTAAAATCACTCTGTTAGTGAAAGTAGTAGCAGTGATAAAAATCATATCTTAGAACATGTTAACCCTTTCAATGTTGAAACCCCTGCTCTCAAACCTGCTCTGTGTCTAATTAAAAAAAAAAAAAAAGTATCTCTTGAAATAATAAGAGAATCTTTTTCTGAAGGTAATGAAACCAAAAGTACAAAATTTGATGGAAAACTTACGGAATAACACTCTTGCAAAGTTACAGGTCTCAGCGATATTCACGCATCGGCAATTTTGCCCACTCTGCGCTCTATTTTTGGCCAATTCCATTGTTCCAGTCGACCAAACTCCTAGCTATTTCGCTAGTATTCCTTCTATTCTATCGAACAAGTACAAGAAACCGCCCATTTACCTATTTCAGCTACCCAATAAAGTGATCAGAAATTGGTAATTTGGCCAATTTCATACAGAATTCAACAATTGACAGTTTAAAACAGGGTCTAGAATAAACAATGTAGACAATCCTGGCACTAAATAAACATTTCCACTGTTCATCAGTTATGTCCCCAGGCCTCTCCTATATCATGCACGAGTTTCATTTTGAAACACATTAATTAATTACTATTATGAAGACTACATTATTGTAATAATTGTATAAATAATGTCAGCGTATTCCTGAACGCATATCAGGCCAACAAGTTAGATGTGTACTGGACGAGTGACGTAATTTGTGTACTCTGGAATATCATTAAAAATCAAACATTTCTGCTACTTTGAGCTCACTTTCAAGCTGCTTTCCGTCCTGAAACAAATCAAAATAATTTTTATTTCTGTAATGTATCTTCCATTCTATCAAATGAGACCAAGAACCCGAGAATACAGCCATAAAACCACGCGAAAACACAACACAAATTTGCTATTTTAAACCAAAACTACGGTCATTATGCACTGCATGGGGCAGGATATTTTTTTATATGGTGCACACTCATCAAACAGACCCATTCTCTCATTTTTTTTTTTTAACAAGTCGGCCGTTTCCCACCGAGGCAGGGTGACCCCAAAAAAAAGAAAGAAAATCCCCCCAAAAAGAAATACTTTCATCATCATTCAACACTTTCACCACACTTGCACATTATCACTGTTTTTGCAGAGGTGCTCAGAATACAACAGTCTAGAAGCATACACATATAAAGATACACAACAAATCCCTCCAAACTGCCAAACCCAAACCCCCCTCCTTTAAAGTGCAGGCATTGATTTTCCCTTTTCCGGGGACCAATCCACTAGTAAAATAACCGGTTTTCCCTAATCCTTTACAAAAAATTACCCTGCTCACACCCAACAGATCGTCAGGGCCCAGTACTATTCGTCTCCATTTACTCCTATCTAACACGCCACGCACGCTTTCTGGAAGTCCAAAAACCCCCTTTCCCACAAAAACCCCCTTTAACCCCCCCTCTTTCCCAAACCCCTTTTGAGGACGACCCCTACCCCGCCTTCCTTCCCCCATAGATTTATATGCTTTCCATTCATTTCTACTTTGATCCATTCTCTCTAAATGACCAAACCACCCAACAACCCCTCTTCTGTTAAATTTAAAATTTAACCCAATTCTTTTTCTCCTTTGAATCCCCACATTTTCACCACTCCCCTTTTTGGAACTATTACCTCTCTTCTGTACAAGTTCAAATTTTAAGTTTTGCCCAATTTTTATAAACCCTTTTATGGGGAAAGTCTACAAAAGAACCAATTTTTCACATTTTTTCCCCCAACCCCCTCTTCGCCCTCAAAAATACTTTTATTAACTCCACACCCCCTAATTTCCCACTCCAAATTTTTCTGCATATTTTTACCCCACACATGCCCTTAAACAACATCTCCACTGCCCCAACCGTCTCCTCGCTGCTGCATTTCCCACCCAATTCACACCCTATAAGATTTTTGGGTACTATATACTTTCATACATTTCCCTTCTTTCCCTCCATAGATAATGTTTTTTGACTCCACATAACCCAAGCACCACTCACCTTTTTTCCCTCATCAATTTATGATTAACCTCATCCTTCATAAATCCATCCGCCGACACGCCCAACTCCAAGTATCTGAAAACATTCATTTTTTTCCAACTCCCTCCTCCCCATTTGATATCCAATTTTTCTTACTAAACTTTTGACACCCTCATCACCTTCCCTTTTTTTCTATGTTCCTTTCAACTTTCCCCTTTTTAAAACCATCCCAAACCATCCACTAACCTTTGCAATTTTTTTTAAATCTCCCATAAGCATGTATCATCCAAAACGTAACTTGTCAATTCCCTTTTTGAATTTGATTCCCCAAAAATTTAACCCACCCCTCCCCCCGGCACCCACTTTTACTTCCTTTACATTACACTTACACATCCCTGTCAAACCTATTTTTACGGGTAGCTCCCTCTCTTCTCCACCCCCAAACCCTGAGCCTCATATCCTCATAAAAACTCTTTACAGCATTTAATAACTTACACCCTATTCCATATACTTGCAACATCTGCCACATTGCTCCTCTATCCACTATCATATGCCTTTTCTAAATCCATAAATGCAATAAAAACTTCCCTACCTTTATCTGAATACTGTTCACACATATATGCTTCAATGTAAACATTTGATCTACACATCCCCTACCCACTCTGAAACCTCCTTGCTCATCCGCAATCCTACATTCTGTCTTACCTCTAATTCTTTCAATTATAACCCTACTGTACACTTTTCCTGGTATACTCAGTAAGCTTATTCCTCTATAATTTATAATTTAATAATTTATAATTTATAATTTATAATTTTTATAATTTTTACTGCTCACAGCTTATGTGAGTGAGCTGCGCTCATCACGTAGTTCTATGGCACCGACTAAGAGTTCACAGCTATAGTACTATGGCATAGACCCTAAAAGGGGTCAAAATTCTAATTACAGTGTTCATCAAATAATACAAAAGACTGGAATTTTCTGGACAAAAAAGGCTGACAAGATGCACATTTCAAAGGGCAAAAGTATACCTAGATGTATAGCACCAAAAGATAGATTTTTACTAAGAGTCAGAAATAATGCTGCTGAGAATTTTAAGATTGAACCTTTGCTAGTGTATCATTCAGGGAACCCTAGAGCACTGAAAGGATCGCCAAAGTTTCTCTTGTCAGTTGTATGTACAAAAATTCAAACATTTTACCTTATACTGTGCTTCCTTATGACAAGTTTTGCAACTGTGACTTGTGTGACATACCTGTGATCCACAAGCTGTTTGATAATCTACCACCTGAAGCAACAGGAATTATTTCATTGTTGCTAAGACAGTAAAATGGATGATTATGAACCTAAATTATTACTGTAATTAATTTAAGCACTAAACTTGGAAGGATCATAGAGAAAATGAGCCTACAACAGTGATCATTTTATTCTTAACAGTGAACATAGTGGGTTCTGCCTTCATCTTGTACTTCATTCACTGGCATTGTGGAATGTTATCAGTTACTTCCTATTAACCCTGTGACTGTCGCAACCCCAAATCCTCAAGTGTCTCCTGGTGTCGCAAAATATTTTGGAAAAAAAAAAAAAATTAAAATGATAGAGAATATTTTCCCAATGATAATGACACCAAAAGTACGAAATTTGATGGAAAACTTACGGAATTACGCTCTCGCGAAGTTAGCGACATTTACGCATTAGCGATTTCGCCCACTTTCAGTTTCAGCCAATTCCATTGTTCCAGTCCACCAAACTCATTTCTATTTCTTTAGAACTCCATTTGTTCTATCAAATGAGTACAAGAAACCACCCATTTACTGATTTCAACTACCCAATAAAGTGGTCAGAAATTGGCAATTTGGCCAATTTCACACAAATTAAAAAATATGTCAATTTCAAAATAGGGTCCAGAATGAACAATGCAGACATTCCTGGCACTAAAATAACCTTTTCTCTGTTCATCAGTCATGTCTCCAGGCCCCTGTTATAATACTCTTGCTTTCTATTTTGCAGACTACTGCAATATTGTATTAATTGTATAAACAACGTCAACCCATTCGTGACTGTGTATTAGAATGGCTAGATGGACATTTATTGGACAACAATGTCATTTGTTCACTCTTGAACATCAGCAAAAATCAAACATTCCTGCCACTCTGAGCTCGATTTCAAGATCCTTTTCATAGTAAAACCTATCAAAATCACTTCTATTTCTATAATATGTTTTCCATTCTATCAAATGAGACCAAGAAAACAAGAATACAACCATAAATACTATACGAAAATACACCTCAAAGTCGGCGTTTTAATCCAAAAACACAGTCGGAGTTTTTTTTTCTCATTATGCACTGCGTGCTGCAGTATTTTTTTTATACTGCGCACACTGACCACACAGACCCAATTTCTAGCATGTGGGCCTACCAACTTTTTCCTGCTTGATCTGAAGCTGCTAGAATTTTTTAGTATATATACGTCAAACACATTGGCTCGTAAAACGTATATATACGACCAAAACAGTCAAAGGGTTAATAGACACAATCTAATCTAATGTAACTAAAGAAATTTGCTGCAAACAGTAGGAGAGGAAACCCCATAGAATTAGCAAGGATGGGCTACTACTTGACATTAATAGTTGGGTTTTAGTATTCACGAGTCTGTGATGGTACTACAGGTTCATGAGCAAGCCAGGCTCTCTAATCTGCATCAGGTAATGGGCTGTTCTTCCTGTGATAAACGGGAAATACACAAGCTGTTTTTAGGTAAGCAACCTGCCATTATGTTAATTGTTAATTGGATAAGAATATTTCTTTTTCTTTTCAATTTAAATATGGGTTCCACACCAGCTCATTTCAATTTATGACCATCTCTTGAGGATAGCTGTAGGAGATCGTGAAGGAGTATTATACTGCAACAATCTCATGTAACTAACTGATAGAATTAATTGAACAAAAATATACTTTCCTTAGTAAGTAATTTACATATCAATACATCATCCACACTATAAGCATAACCAAACAAGGTGAAACTAACAATTCCCAAATTCATTGAAAATTAGAAAAGAGAAACATGTTAAAAAAATTATTACCTTCTTTACTCTGGCTTGAAGATCCTGTACAAATAATTTACGCAAATTGTGCAAGGTTTGCAACTCCTTAGCGACAGTCTCTTCTAGACCTTTAAGGTCCTGCCTTGCCTGCTCCTTGCGTTCATGGACAGTTGTTAACTCACTCAACTTAACAGTCTGATAAAGAGAGAAACAAAGTCCCTTTAGTTATGCATCGAGATAATGTCTCACTCTCAAATCTGGGTTTTTGAGTGTGGTGGGTAACACAGCATGTTTGTATTATAACCCTTAATGCTACAGCATGTTTGTATTATAGCCCTTAATGCTACAGCATGTTTATATTATAACCCTTAATGCTACAGCATGTTTATATTATAACCCTTAATGCTACAGCATTTTTGTATTATAACCCTTAATGCTACAGCATATTTGTATTATAACCCTTAATGCTACAGCATGTTTGTATTATAACCCTTAATGCTGGAGCAATCTGACATGAACATTTTTGTACATCTCCTGTATAACTTACTAAATTTAAAGAAAAAAAATAATTTTCTCCTTTTTAGGTCACCTTGCCTCAGTGGGGTATGGCCGGAATTATAAAAAAAAAAAGTACCTGCAGTATGTTTAACTAATACTGCTATACTCCATACAGCATTAAGGCCAAGAACACTGATGCAGTTATGAAAGCATAGTCTTTCCTGAATAATAAAATTAATGATACTCTTAATGCAGGTATTCCAAAATATGAGGTTCTCTTTATAATAAAAACTGAATTTCAATCCAAAAATGTTCTGAAAGTAAATGTACAGTATATATTATACACATCTGGTTTCATAGTTTTTTCAAAACTGGAGATTTTTGACCCTGTATATGTGGCATGTAATGCACATTTCAATCCCACACCTCACCCCAACACTATCCTCCCCCCCCCCCCTTGCTTTTAACATTTCTGTCATGATCCTGTCAGTTCCAGCTGCTTTACCCCCTTTCATTCTATGTAATGCCTTATGCACCTCCCCCACACTCACATCCTGCTCTTCTTCACTTCTAAAAGATGTTATAACTCCCTGAACAGTGCATGAAATTACTGCCTCCCTTTCTCATCGACATTTAAAAATTCCTCAAAATATTCCCGCCATCTACCCAGTACCTCCAGCTCCCCATCTACTAACTCCCCTACTCTGTTTTTAACCGACAAATCCATTCGTTCACTAGGCTTTCTTAACTTGTTTATCTCACTCCAAATTTTTTTCTTATTTTCATCAAAATTTCTTGACAGTACCTCTCCCACTCTATCATCTGCTCTCCTTTTGCACTCTCTCACCACTCTCTTCACCTTTCTTTTACTCTCCATATACTCTGCTTTTCTTGTAACACTTCTGTTTTGTAAAAACCTCTCATAAGCTGCCTGTCTCTCTTATCACAACCATTACTTCATCATCCCACCAATCACTCCTCTTTCCTCCTGCACCCACCCTCCTATAGCCACAAACTTCTGCCCCACATTCTAATACTGCATTTTGCACTAGCCCACCTTTCTGCCAATAGTTGCTTATATCTCACCCTAACTTCATCCTCCCTTAGTTTATACACTATCACCTCTCTTTTACTTGGTGTTGTTATTTTCCTTTTGTCCCATCTACCTCTTACTCTAACTGTAGCTACAACTAAATAATGATCTGATGTATCAGTTTCCCCTCTATAAACATGTACATCCTGAAGCCTACCCATCAATCTTTTATCCACCAATACATAACCATACAAATTACTTTCATTATGTGCTATATCACACCTTGTATACTTATCCTCTTTTTCATAAAATATGTATTACTTATTACCAAACCTCTTTTAAACATCGTCATTTACCGCTGGCACCCCAAATTTACCTACTACTCCCTCCACAACATTTTTACCCACTTTAGCATTGAAATCCCAACCACAAGTACTCTCACACTTGGTTCAAAACTCCCCATGCACTCACTCAACGTTTCCCAAAATCTCAATCTATATCTATCTATATCTATATCTATCTATATCTAAATCTCTCTCTCTCTTTTTCTCCAGGTGCACAAAAGCTTACTATAACCCACTTTTCACATCCAACCCTTATTTTACTCCCCATAATCCTTGAATTTATACATTCATATTCCCTCTTTTCCAGCCATAACTTATCCTTCAAGATTTTTGCTACTACTCCTTTAGCTCTAACTATTTGAAACCCCCGACCTAATCCCGTTTATTTCTCCCCCACTGAAGCTCTCTCACCCCCTTCAGCTTTGCTTCACTTTAAGCCAGGACATCCAGCTTCTCATTCATAACATCCACAATCACCTCTTTCTTATCATTTGCACAACATCCATGCACATTCAAACATCCCACTCTGATGGCTTTCTTCTTTTTCTTTTTAGTAGGCTATACAGGAAAAGGGGTTACTACCCCATTGCTCCCGGAATTTTAGCTGACTTTTACAACACCCACAGCTTACAGAGGAAAGATTCTTATTCCACTTTCCCATGGATATAAAAGGAAAAGCAATAAGAACAAGGACTTGAGTCCTGGAGATGGGAGGTACAGTGCCTGCACTCTGAAGGAGGGGTGTTAATGTTGCAGTTTAAAAACTGTAGTATAAAGCACCCTTCTGGCAAGACAGTGATGGAGTGAATGATGGTGAAAGTTTTTCTTTTTCGGGCCACCCTGCCTTGGTGGGAATCGGCCAGTGTGTTAATAAAAATAATAAAAAAAACTATTAAGATAAAATCAAAGAAAACTCAGATGAGTGTGTACAATAGGGCCCCCCCTTATACGTCAGGTTAGGTTCCAGGCTACTCCCAAAAAGCAGACATCGCCAGAAAGCAGAACGCCATTTCTTCCACTTATAAATGCATATAAATGCCAGGTAACAAGTTTACACTAACATATTATGTTAGCAATAGAACTAGGCATTAAAAACAGTAAAAAGTAAAATACACACACAGTACACCCATTACTTACCTTAAAATATTTGTAGTCATAATGTAGGGTGAGAGGGGAGTTTTATTTGTTTGTTTGCTTATTTAAAGTCAGGTTTGGGAAGTATGGTATCCAGCCAGGGAAGCCCTCCCCACCCCACTCTCACATAATGTAAACAAACCAGGCGAACACAACTGGTTTTCGTCACTTTACATTGTGTACAAGTTG